AAATATGAATATGATTTGTCTATAGTCATGGTCACATATCTGACGTCTGGTTAAAAACAGCGTCTATCACAATTCCTAGAAATCACCGCATATGTATGCGTGCTCAAGGCGCTCCAACCATTCGTGAAAAAATGTCTAATGAGCTGCTTATGGTTAGTGCCGCGTTTGTGGTTATTAGTTAATTAAAAAAAAAACATAGGAAAAATAGGCGATGATGGACGACGCATTTACTTAAAAGAAGAACCCTACAAATGAAGTCCGATTTACTAGTAGATTTGGCGTTAGAACCTAATACTGGACAAATTCAAAATTTTACACGTATGTCAGTGTAACACTTTAAACGCCTTTTAAATGATATAGGCCCCGTAATAAAGAAAAACGACACAGTCTTAAGAAAAGCCATACCTGTTAAGGAACGTTTATTGATAACATAATAATATAGGGTTTTCTTCACGCAAATCTACTAATTGCAAACATTGTTCATTTGACCACTCCATTTTACACATAAATTAATAAAATAAATAAAACTCAATAAATCCGAACTTGTCTTATAAATGCAACAAATCTCCACGCTATCCGTCTAAACTGAGCTCGAACGCACACGTATGTTTCTTTGATGTGTGCGAAAAAACCGACACTTTGGCGCGCCGCACATTCAGACGCAGGTGACGCAGGCAACGCAGCGTAGGACAGCACATGTTTCTGTTTTCCGTACAATTACATTACCCCGCGCGAATTGGAACGCAGGGCAGGGCAGCACAGAACTGTGTTTATGAAAACCTGCCGGCACAGTCGTCCGGACACAGATTCCTGTGTCACGTGCAGAGCAGTTGGTTTGTTTCTAGTAAAATTTTGTGTGGTTATATTCGAAATAAATTAACAATTAATCGAATTGGTGAGAAGCCAGAGAATTCTTTACGATATCAACGATCCCAATTATTTAAATTAAATAAGTAATGTACAAGAAGATAGTGCAGATGAAGACCCACAACAGGAAGACTCCATAGTTGATCCAGAGAGTGAAATTTTTGACGAGGTGACCAGCGACATTCGACATGATACCGAAGAAATCTAGAGTGTTAAAAATGACATTTAATGAGCCGTCTACGTCTGGTATTGTTATACAAAAAAATAACGAAAAAGAAAATACCAAACGTAAGGCAACTAAAGACCAATCAATCACAACCAAAGTAGCTAAAAATAAGAAACCTAAAAATGATGATATAGAGGAAGTGATAAAGCAGTCAATTATGCAACGTCAAAAAAGGGCAGAAGAAAGAGCAGTTAAAAGGGCACACAGAAGCCTTTGGATGATGATCTCTATCATTTTTATATGTCGATGTACAAAATAACCAAAAAATGCCTCCTAAATTTCAACATCGTGCAAGAAATGATGTGTTCCAAGCTATATTGCAGCTCGAAGCTGCATATCTAGAAATTCATGATCACAGTCAAGAAAACTACACTCATAGTCAACAAAGAGTTTTTACAAGTGCATATGTTAATACCCATATTCAGCAGCCCTATTACTCGTCAACTCATCTTCCATCACCAAGTTCCAGTCACAGTAGCCAGCATACTGAGAATTAACATTGTAATAATCCGCTAGCTCCTATTCCCAACATCTGTTTTTTATGCTCAAATGATTACAACTTTTCATCTACTACACTCACCCCCAGGTTGTCTGCTGAGACATCTCCTCAAACCGTTGATACCGGTAATATTCGTAATTTTGTGGAAAATTATAGAGTATAGAATTATGATTGTTTAAAATGATATTTTTGTAATTTTTAATAAAACAAAATTAATAAAAATAATACCTTAAAAAACAGCTAGTTTTTCTTTGGTTCCTATTTGTTTTTGGGCATTACAACCATTTGAATAAATACTGTTTCCTATTATATTATGTACTTCATCAACTTGTTTTCTGATTAACCGAAAATAATTTAAATAGCGCGACTCGGAGAATTCTGATGATAGTGCAAATTCCCCATGAGTATTTCTCTTTTTCATATAGTTGCTTTTCTAAAATGATTTTTTTCTCTTTGACATGTTGAATGACAAAACTGTTTCTTCAAATTCTGTGTCTGACTCTGATTCGGAACTGTCCAGAAATAACGCCATTATTTAAATTATAAAATTCTCTTTCTATGTTCATATAATATATTCGATATTCGCACCTCAAAATTTTCGAGAAGACCTGTGTAGAATGCCCTGCACTGCGTCACCTGTGTCACCTGCGTACCAATGTGCTGCTTACTTTTGGCTCGCAGCATGTGTGCTCAAGTAATTCGCGAGAAGCATCGCATGTAGCGAGAGGTTACGAAAGCGCCGTCCACATTTGCACACGTATGTGTATTCGTGGTTGCTCACCGCATGCGTTTCTGTACGCGCCTTAAGATGTCAAATCCTAAACAGTACAAAAATTTCATTCTTAATTATCTCATTCAGTTTGCTTGAAAGGAATTTTTTGCATATCTTACGCCAGACTAAATAGGTGGTAATAAGGTGTGTGGTAATACACAATTAGTTTTTATTAGAGGTTTAAAGACCAAGAAAGTTCCCTTCTCTTTAAAATTCTTGATTTAAAAATGTTAATGATAAACGAGAAGATTTGTTATGTTACATTGACTATCGAGTTTGGATGAATTCTTCTCGAGCAGTACAGACCAAATTTTCAAAATGGTAATTCGTTCTCAAACTGCTCCTAACTTATATAACCGTCTACAAACTATAAAAAACTTGGAGTATGAAAAATAATGTTTCATCTATATTTTTTTATTCAAAATACACATAATTAAAATTTTCTTAGAAAATTACATTTTTTTAACTTTCTGGTACAACCTACAACATGACACACTTGTACAGCGGCACATCAATGGGCATGAATGGGCAACAAGTGCCGCAATATCGTATCACCTTCCTTTTCTTCTCAAGGTTGCAAACAAAACGTGTCTTAGAAGGTTAACACTTAATTGGTCGAAGATGGAATACCATCGGGAAAATCTTCTTCTTACGGTGCCTTATCCTTAAGGACGTTGGCCATTGCATTTGCCCATTTAATCTTATTTGTAGCAGCCCTGAATAGTTCTATGGAGGTCATGTTCGTCCATTGCCGTAGGTTTTTAAGCCAAGAGTTGCGTCTTCTTCCTGGTCCTCTTTTGCTATCGGGAAAATGGTGAGCAGATAACCTCACGGGATTATCTTCTTTCTGGTACACATTAAGGGGCGTTTTCACCAAGCGCGCAAAATGTTTGCAAATGATTGCAAGTGTTAGCAAACAATTTTATTTGGTTGGTATAGACAGATTTCAGAAGGCTCCCAAACAATTGCAAACGTTTGCAATTGTTTAGCACGATTCCCTCGGCTGTCGGTACTTCAAAGCGATTCGTTGTGTGTGCGTGGAGACACTAGGTTTTATTTATAGTCTGTTATATTAGAAAGGAATAGTTTGTTTTCGGTGAGCGATTAGTAATTAGTAGAGAATTATTTGTTTTTTATAAAAAAAATGAAATGGGATAATGAGAAATGTTTAGAATTGATTGAATTTTACAAAATGGAACCAGAAATATGGAATGCCAGTCATAAGCTATACTACAATAAATTTAAAAAAATGGACGCCTTTTTATTCTTCTTTTTTTATATAATCGTTTTTTTACTAACTCAGACATGATTGTATAGGTAACTAGTCGCACATATAACTTCTCTTCTTAGAGCCATTTTGTACAAACAAGACGGAACGATGGCAAATGTTTGCAAACTTACTCAAATTGTCGAGTTCTTGTTGTTAACCAACTGTGCCATACATGTGTTGGCAAACGTTAGCAAATGTTTGCTAATGTTTGTGTGTAGATGTTTGTAAATGTTTTTTGGTGAAAATGCACCTGTAGGTATTTCACAAAAACCAATATACACGGTCCATGAAGAAGGATCCATGCCTAAGAAAGATAGGAGAGGTAAAACAAGTAGTAGATCGATGTCTGATGATAAAAGGGAAGACGTTAAAACTCATATTAACTTAGTCTCTATAATTGAATCGCATTATTGCTGACAAACGACTAAACGGAAGTAAAATTATCCTATTACCGATTTGTGCTCAACAATGAGTTCAATTATGGTTTTCGTATTCCTAAAAAGGACCGTTGTGAAAAATGTGAAGACTACAAACATAAAAGTCGTGACAAACTTTTGACAGAAGAGTAAAACCGGAAGTTTGAAGAATACATTGAAGTAAAAAATAGTATGAGGCTAGAAAAAAATATTGATAAGGAAAACGGAACGCTTGTTCTTAGTTTTGATTGACAGAATGTGATAAAGTGTCCAAGATGAGAAGTTGGCAATTTCTTTTATTTACAAAAATTAAATATCTATAACTTGACTTTATATTACTCTGTAACAAAAACTGTTTATTGTGCCATATGGACTGAAGAAAAACAAGGAAGCTGTGCTGGCTAGTGCTTCTCATAAAATTTTGGAAGATAATAATATCACTAATCTAGTCACATGGAGTGATTCTTGTATATCTCAGAATCATAACTCATTTATTTCATTTTCTGTCATGGAAGCACTGAGACAGCATCCGGAATTAGAAAGTGTTGCAATGAAGTTTTCTTCACCAGGTCAGGGAGCAATTCAAGAAGTGTATAATGTGCATAATAACTTTGAAAGATTTATGAAAAAACTGAAAGTTTATTTACCAGTTTCATTTATACGTAATTTGAAGTCTGTGAATAAAATACATCCTTATATTATTTTGCAGTTAAAAGAGTATGATTTTAAAGACTATAAAACCTGTTCCAAAAATTTGACTTTCAAAAAAATTCCATTTTCCAAAGTGGTGTCAATTAAATTTACACAATTATTCACGCATGTGATATGCAAATATCACATACGTCCGTTAATATTGAAACAACATATATATTCAGCAGTGAAAGTTGCAAGTTATCTGATAAAAATCTTAATTTAGTCTATTATACTTTTATTTTATTCTTTTTTTGCAGGAGCTGAGCACGGCCGAAGATTAAGTCAACAATACTCAGTAAACGGCACCGAATCCAGAGATCGACCTCACACTCTAGCCGAATATGCCATCGACCATTTCCGTCCCCCACTTAAACGAACAATGTCGAAAGCACTTACCCTCACCGCCAACCGAAGAAGCAATGACGATCTTTGGAGACATTCACGAGATCCCATCAAACAACCCCTTCTGAAGAAATTGTTGATGAAAGAAGAACTAGCTGAAGAAGCTTGTTTCGCGTTCAGTGCTATATTAAAATATATGGGAGATTTGCCATCGAAGAGACCTAGATTAGGAAATGAGTACACGGATCATATTTTTGATGGACCGCTTAAGCATGAGATCCTCAGAGATGAGATATATTGCCAAATTATGAAACAATTAACAGATAATAGAAATAGGTAAGGAATTAATATTTATCTCTTCTTGTATACTGCATGATATTTCCCTTTCTCTGATTCCGCTGTTATCTACCATTGCACCCAAATATTTGAACTACTGTACCTGGGAAACTGACGTATACTCACTAATTAGTAAGTCAAGTATAATATGGTCTAGCTATTTAATCAGCAAATATTCTGTTTTTTGTGTATGTTGTTTTATGTATTTATAGTATTTACTTCTGATATTGGTTAAATTTAAAGCGATCCTTTGGAACAACCACTGGTTATCCGCAAAAGTACCTAGATACTTATTGTTTTCCTGTAGGTATTTTCATTGCTGTAATAGACTTCTTGCATAATTAAAAGTTTGTATATTTTCATATTTTATTGAAACCGCTTATATATGTTAGCTTATATATTTCAACCGTTTCCGTGGGTAGTACTGTGATGTTTTATCCAGCATATGCGTTTCTTCAAACAGTATCCTATGTTCTCCGCTTCCCAAAGCGTGTTCCGCAACGGCAGATTTGTCGATATGTCTTAAACGACAATGGCTTTTATGTTCGTTTATTATTGTGTTTGTGTGTCTTTTCGTGGTTCCCACATATTATTTAATTATTAATTGTATTTACTCTAAATTTCTTAATTATTCCTATATTTATTTAAAATATTTTATTCTATGTTAAACTTGAAACAAATAGTAATACAACAATATCTTTTTATATTGTAGATTATCAGAAGAAAGAGGCTGGGAATTAATGTGGCTGGCCACTGGACTTTTCAGTTGCTCCCAAAGCCTCTTAAAAGAACTAACTATTTTCCTTAGAAGTAGAAGACATCCAATATCTTTAGATTCCCTCCAAAGGCTGCAAAAGACTTTAAGAAATGGCCAGAGAAAGTATCCACCCCATCAAGTCGAAGTAGAAGCCATTCAGCATATGACAACGCAAATATTTCATAAAGTGTATTTCCCAGATGATACCGATGAAGCTTTTGAAGTTGATTCCAGTACTAGAGCTAAAGATTTTTGCCAGAATATTAGTCAAAGATTAAATCTTAGATCTAGTGAAGGATTTAGTCTCTTTGTTAAAATTGCAGATAAGGTAAATTTAATAATTTAACATTACATATATAAAGAGATTTACTATGATTATATTAGAGTTGTACAGAGTTTTTTTAGAGTATTGCGATAAATTCTATGTTTATATGGGAAAAACTTGGGTTTCCACATGCACCTATTATTAGCGCCAGTTTATTGGCACATTAAAACAATTCAAATCGACTGGCGCCAGTTTATTGGCACATGAAAACAATTCAAATTAACTGGCGCCCGTAAAATGGTGGCATTAATTCATGCGCCAGCAAAGTAAAAAGCAGTTGTACTATTGGTGCCAGTTCGCGTTTTTAAAGCGTTGCTTTTGTAATCTCTGCTACAATGTTAAAAGTTAACTTCTCAAGAGCAAGTGCAAGCTTGAGAGAATGGTCTACAGAGGTAATAAAAACGTTTTTAGAGATGTACGAAGAATACCCTTGCCTATGGAACTACAAATTTCTATCATACAAAAATGGGAATCAAATGGATGCGGCTCTAAGTAAAATGGTTGAGGTTATGATGGACACTGCAAAGTTTGATATTATTGCTGCAAAATCCAAAAAACGCAGCATTCGGCGTCTCTTATGTGAGTATCTGACTTAGATGGATTTTATTGGATATATGTTTTAAGAGACCCTGGACCTAGACGTATATCCTGGCTGACCAATTTTAGGAAGTGAACTGGTCTAATCTTAACTGATCTATTTCGAGCTGCTTTGAATAGAATAAGATAATTCAATGTGGTCGCCAACATTTCTAGAAGATTCAAATATGCTTCCGGGTCTTCATGAGCTAACTCTTTTATTAAATTATTAGATGCTCCTAAACTTCGACGTAATATCCATGGATGGACACACCATCTGCGTTTTCGTTTTTTGTGCAATATGTTTACTTCAGTATTTTTTGCATTTCTAACGCTAAAATTTGCACAGTAACAATAAGACTTGCACGTATAATTGCAGTTGGCGCCATTTTAAAAACCAAGATCTTTTAAAACAACAGAAATGTGTGGAAACCAATGCTGGCGCCAGAAAATCATGCTACTGGCGCCCATAATCAGTACCTGTAGTGTGAACTCACCTTAAGCCACAATTTATTGTAATGACAATTACATTTTACCTAAAAAATTTGACGTTTCAATTTCGACTACGAAAATCGCTCTCAAAAAGATGATTTAATAATTTTGTTGAAAAACGGTCTGTATAACCGCCAAGATTATAGGCCACAGCCACATTTGGCTCAAAACATATGAGGGTGGATGTTTTGACTCATGGAAATTCAAACTCTGATTATCTTAGCGTTCAGTATAGAGTGTTCCTGTTTAGTGAACGTGTGTTGTGTGTTGCATATGTAATGCGTATGATACGTGGTTTCTTATTCCGATATTGTTGGTATATTTTTGTTGGTAACTTCTTCTTTAAGTATTGGCAACCACAGTCTGCTATAGTCTGCTAATGGATTTGCTACACATTTTTCTTCATTGAGTACGATGAGGGCTGCTTCTTTGATTTTTCTCTTTTTCATGTCTGTTACAGTGACAGTTATTTGACAATTGTGTTTTTTTATTATGGATTTAAGTATGGATTTATGTTATTATATTTAACAATGTTAATATAATTGTATAGTATATCTATGATTGTCGGAAGTCAATTAAACCGGGTTAATTTTGTCTATACACACCACATAAACAACACTGGTTCGCTCTAAAATATTGCGGAACGTCTGCGCGAAGGAGATGCGCGTACTTAATTTTCCATGGAGAGTGGGCATTCTGATTGTTCATTATTCTGTGGTTCTGACTGAGTTGTCGTTTTATTGTGAAACGATTGCACCCAACTATCTACATGGTTGCTTTATTATTACAGATTACACTTTATGCAACTTTATTGTTACACTTAAAGTAAAACCGCCATTATCCGCACGTGGAACAATGCGTAACACTATTTAGACGCTCTCAATTTCTGAATATCTCATCATCATCATCATCATCTTTGGCTCTACAACCCTGGATGGGTCTTAGCCTATTCAAGAATTAGTCTCCATTCCCCTCTATATTTTGCCCTGGCTTTCCAATTTCTGACCCCTAGATTCCTCAAGTCATCTTCGACTTCGGCCTGCCTGTCTTCCTGGTTCCTACTGGCTCTTGATAGAATATCTCAATATCTCATTACCGATATATTCGCATATATGATCGGATCTATATTTTAAGCCAAAAGTTAAACAACCGTAGATAAAAACTCCACTCGTCTAGAGTTAAACTATTATTATAAACAAATTTTAGGTCTTGAACACATCCTATATTTTATTTATTTGTTGTAATAAGTTTTATATTGTTTCAGGTAATCTCAGTTCCGGAAGGAGACTTCTTCTTTGATTTTGTGCGGCATTTGACAGATTGGATCCGTAAGGCACGTCCAACGAGAGATGGCATCACACCGCAATTTTCATACCAAGTATTTTTCATGAAGAAGTTGTGGACAAACACTGTGCCGGGTAAGGATCGAAATGCGGATTTAATTTTCCATTTCCATCAAGAACTACCTAAATTAATCCGAGGCTATCACAAGTGTAGTAAAGAGGAAGCTATCAAACTGGCCGCTATAGTATATAGAGTTCGTTTTGGAGAAAGTAAACAAGAACTGCAAGCCATACCGTAAGTCTATCTTTTTATTTTTGTTTTTGAACCTTGTAGTTATGGTTGTAAACTGATTTACTACATATATATTTGCCCCTATTAACTTATTTCTATTATGTTTCAGACAAATGCTACGTGAGCTAATTCCAGCGGATCTGATCAAACTACAAGGTATCAACGACTGGAAGAGATCGATAGTAGCGGCTTACAATCAAGACGCTGGAATGAGTCCCGAAGACGCGAAAATTACATTTTTGAAAATAGTCTACCGTTGGCCCACTTTTGGATCCGCCTTCTTTGAAGTGAAGCAGACCACTGATCCAAACTATCCAGAAATGCTCCTTATAGCTATTAATAAACATGGAGTTAGTCTTATTCATCCGCAGTCTAAAGTAAGTATATCTTTTATAATTACTTTGCATAGAGGGAATAAATGTTTCTGAAAGTTTCTAAAATTTGACCCAGTATTCTACACCTGGGTAATGTAAACTTTAAAGCTACTAATGTTAAAAATACAGAAATTTTAGAAATAGTATGAAGTTTTGAAAGGAGATCAAACAGACCTCGAAAACTATAGGCCAATCAGTCTTCTAAGTCACCTGTATAAATTATTTGCTCGAATTATCACTGCCAGAATTGAGAACAAACAAGAAACATGCCAACCAAGAGAACAGGCAGGCTTCCGCCCTGGGTATGGTACAAATGACCATCTAACTTGTCTAAAGGCCCTAATTGAAAAAACTATAAAGTACAACCGGCCACTAGTTCTAGTATTTGTTGACTATAAAAAAGCCTTTGACACTATCGAGATGGTAGCTATCTTAAGAGCTTTGAGAGATTGTAGAATCGACTACCGATATACCAGCATACCTACAAGTAGCACAACGAAAAATGGAAAGATCTATGCTTGGCGTAACTTTGAGAGACCGAATACGAAATGATGAGATACGGCGAAGAACTGGAGTGGAAGACGTCATAAAACGGATTACGAAGTTGAAGTGGAAATGGTCAGGACACGTCGCAAGACAGAGAGACAACAGATGGACAAAGAAGATTTTAGAATGGCGGCCAAGGGCAGACAAGCGAAATCGTGGAAGACCGCCTACCAGATGGACGGACGACATTAAAAGAATAGTGACAAACTGGATCGCAGCTGCACAGGACAGAGAAGAGTGGAGACATCTTGAGGAGGCCTATGTTCGACAGTGGACAAATTTGGCTGTGTGATGATGATGATGATGAAGCTTTGCGCTAGTATACAGTATCGCCTACTGTTCCACTTTTGTTTCCATTTAGTTGGGTATGTGTTTCGTGGAAAATTCTAGGATTTTAGGATTCTAGGATAGCAGCAGTTGTATTGATTTACAGTACTTGATGACGACAGTGCACGAAAAATTAGGTTCTTGAGTTATTTTTAAGTACCTACTTACTTAACATGATCTAAAATCGCTACTTCTGTCGTTTCAACCCTAGCACATTTTTTACACCCCTTTTTAACTACCGATTCTGTTTCATGAAATTTTAAACTAGTTTTAATACGTATGAGTGATGAAGTAGCTTATCTTGATGATGTTGATTAAATAATTTCGCTGTTCTTCCCATTGTTTTCGCTTTTTTAAAGTGTGTCAAATATTTCGCTGTCTTCAGGTGTATGCATGTCATCAAAAACAAATTAAAAACCTATCTACCTTACCAAACACCTCAGGAACAGTCGGGGTTTGTAAAGGGTAAAAGTACACGGGTAAAAATCTTGAACTCGAGACACCTCATTGAAAAGTAGAAACTAGAGAATTTCAAGTAGGTACCTATGATTATATGCTTAGTTGACTACCAAAAGGCATTTGATTGTGTAAGCTGAATAAATCTATGGTCCATTTTAATAGAAATGGGCACATCAATGCATCTGGTGTCACTTATTAAAAATCTGTACCAGTCCAATATAGCAACAGTACGACTAGATCAGCAGTTCTCAAACCAATTCAAGACCGAGAGAGGTGTTAGACAAGGATGCGTGTTGTCACCTGACTTATTCAACATGTATGGGGAACATGTCATGTGGATGGCTTTAGATGGATGGCCCGGTAGAGTAACAGTGGCTGGTAGGAAAATCTCCAATTTAAGATTTGCTGATGACACTACACTTATAGCAAATGAGCAAGAAATGTTTAATCTCCTGCGAAGAGTTGAGTACGAAAGTAATAAAGTTGGTCTGAAAATCAATAAAGCTAAGACAAATGTAATGGTGGTCAACAGATTTCTCACTATTCAACTGGCTAACATGTTACAAGAATACCAGATACTGAACAGTTTTGTCTATCTCGGGTCTAGTATAACTAACGATGGTAACTGTGAGGCAGGAGTTCGGAGACGTATTGGTATGGCCAAAAATGCGAGAAGTCGCCTGACTAAACTTTGTAAAGACAGATCTATCTCTCAAAATATCAAGACGAGACTGGTGAATGCCATTGGGTCAGAGACTTGGCTCTTAGCGGACGCCAGCGCCAAAAAATTGATGCCTTTGAGATGTGACGCTGGAGAAGAATGCTGCGCATTCTAAACCAACTTGAGATTAAAAAAAAGGCTATCCACAATATATCTGCAACGTATTCTACAATTTTTTTGGCACGTGGTTCGCAGAGGTGACGATAGTTTGGAGAGAAAAGATCAAGAGGACGATCACCAACTAGATGCTCCGACCAAATTAACAATTCAGCTGGAAACTCATTCTATGAAGCACTCAGAGCAGCTGAAGATAGAGACCAATGAAGAAAAATTGTTAGGAATATTGGAAGAAATCACGATTCCCACTAATGGGGAGAGGACAAGAGAGAGAGGTGTACGCATAAGTTCTTCAAAGTCTAGTCCTATCCAGTTTCTAATATTGAGCAGCCATGATGCTTTTTTTCCTCCAATACCTTATTTTAGCATTAATGATCAATTAAGGAATGCAGTGCTTTTCGTTACGTAGCAAATGACGCAATCAACTGATTTTTCTTATTTTAATCATTCTCAGTAGGTGTTTTTCTATATTTAGTCTATTTCGATCTTCTTCATTTGTTTTTCGTGCAATCCAACTTCGTACTTCTGATTTATTCGGGCTCTTTATTTTTAGAGTCCACGTTTTGACTCCATAGAAAAGAACGGACCAAATACAACACTTTACAATTTTCAATCTTAGTTTGATATTATATGTGTATCGCAAAGTAGACACGCAACTTGAAGAAACAACCATCATAATAAGTTGAAGAATATTATATCGGTCTCCCCTTACTACGTGTCCAAAATAGGCCATCTTTCTACATTTGATGTTATCAAGCAGCTCGCGAGCAGCATTTGCTTTCTCAAGGACTGCCATATTTGTCAGCATAGCCGTCCATGGAATTTTTAGTATACGTCTGTGCAGCCACATTTCAAAGGCCTCCAGACGATTAATGGTGGATATTTTTAATGTCCATGCTTCGACACCGTATAAGAGGACTGACCAAATGTAGCATTTAACCATGCGCTTTCGAAGTTGAAGTTGCAAGTTATCATTACAGAAGAATGACCTCATTTTTAAAAATGTCGTGCGGGCTATCTCGATTCTAAATTTTATCTCTTGATCTGGATCTAGTTGTTCAGTAATCTGGCAACCAAGATATTTAAAACTGGACACTCTTTGAATTATATGGCGATCAACATATAATCGTGCATCATGATGTGCTAAACGGCTAAACACCATGTGTTTTGTTTTTGAACAGTTTATGTTTAGGCTAAACTCTCTTCCCACTGTATCAATGGCATTTAAAAGGCATTGTAATCCATTCATGTCATCACTTAAAATAACTGTATCGTCTGCATATCTGATTGTATTTATCAGAATTCCATTAACTTTCACGCCCCATTACAAATTATGCAGCGCTTCTTTAAATATTCTATCTGAATATAAATTAAATAACAGTGGGGATAGTATACAACCCTGTCTGACACCTCTTTGTATTTTACATATTTCTGTTGATTTTCCGTTTATGCAAGCTGTCGCTGTTTGACGCCAGTATAACTTTTCTATGAATCGTATGTCTTGACTATCAACTCCTTTATCTTTTAATATAGTAATTAATTTGTGATGCTGTACTCGATCAAAGGCCTTTTCATAGTCAATAAATACAGCAAAGACGTCTTTCCTTTGATCTCGACATTTCTGCAGTAATACATTTAGTGCAAAGAGGGCGTCCCGAGTTCCCAGTCCATTTCTGAAGCCAAATTGTGTTTCATCCTGATCTTCTTCACATTTATCTCTGGTTCTACTGTGGATGATGCGTAGAAATATTTTCAAAGTGTGGCTCACAAGGCTTATCATTCTAGAATCGCTACAGTTTTTCGGATGTTGTTTTTTTGGTAGTGTTATGAATTCGAACTTTAACCAATCTTCAGGGATATCACCAGTCGAATAAACATCATTGAAAAGTTTGACCAGTGTTCCAATGTTCTCCTCATTTATAAGTTTTAACATCTCTGTCGGTATGTTATCAGGGCCAACGGCTTTCTTGTTCTTTGCTAACTTTATAGCATGCAGTATTTCTGATTTTAGTATTTCTGGTCTTTCACCTTCAACTAAAGCCTCCGGTTCTTTGGGTCTATCATCATTATACAGTTCACTTATATAATTACACCAGGTTGTTCGAATTTCATGTTCGTCTATTATCATTTTTCCCGACGAATCGGTAATAGTATGTACTAACCAGTTACCAACTGTAATAGTTTACCTGTTCTGATATCTTCCCATTTATCAATCTAAGTAAAGAAACATTCTGCCTCTTTTGGATTTCCATTATCTTAGTTTTTTTTTTCCCGTTAGTTTTCATGTGAACTTTCAGTAAAATTTCAACGAACACTACAACAAGGAGCTGGAGAAAATGTCGATAGTTTTCATATATTTAAAAATAAGTATTTATAAAATTCAGCAATTATTTAAATAAATAAAGCCAATGTTATTAAAAATGTTTAAACCTTGACTCCTAATCTCTGAGATCTGATAATTGCATTTTTTTAAATATTGTTTGTGTGTTTACTCAGACATAGAATCGTATATAACATATTAATTGAATTAAGTAATTAAGCTATCCAACATAAGATCTACTTATTTGCATACGATATACAAGTTGATATATTATTTGCTGTTACTAAACGAGTATTACTTTACAAAATTACGTCAACTGATATACGAGTATTAGTTCTCTCCATTCATTCCTATTTCTCGCTCTACACCTTCTAAGCTTGAATGTTTCCAGATATTCATTTTCTTGGTTCATACATCTTATTTTTGGTCCTCCATTAGATCACCTCCTTACTATGTTTTTTGGGTTATGATTTTGATTGGTTCAAAGGGTTTTATGTGCTCCAGATAACCATT